ATGCGTGTAGGTCTGTATGTTTTGTGATTCTGTAATTCTCCTGTAACATAAAGCAGCAGTGATAATAGAGGAAGCAAAAAACAAAATGAGACCAATTGCAGTGACGACAGATTCTTACAGGAGAACTTTTATTATGTGGCTATCATTTTTTTTTTTCAAAAACTGCTTAAGATAAACTTTCACCGACTTTTCTTTATCTTCTCTTTTTTTCCTCCTTCGTTTTCTTCTCTTCTTCCTTTTCTTTCACTCTTTTTCTTCTATCTTTTCCTCTGTTTTCCCCTACTTTTCAATTTTTGTTTCCATCCTTTTGTTTTATTTGTTACAGCTGGTTTGTCCGTGGTTTCTGTTTGTTCAACATTTTTTCAGATATCCGTCAATTTTATGCGAGTCAATGGAGCTATAGCACCTTTTCGAACTTTACTGACTAACCCAAGCACAACATCAACAATTGTTGATAGCAGATCCATCCAACGGGTTACAAGCCTCCGACGTATTCACAGCGATCAGAAGGCACGCAGTGACTACCCGTTACGGCGTCTTTCAGATGCACCTGTAGTCGCCATCGAAGGTTATACGAATTACCATTAATGATCACTGTATTTTAGCTTGTTTCTTGTACTTTTTAACTAACAACATTGTTAATACCGAAAAAAATTCTCGAAGAAAATAAATTCTGTGTTTGGCTTCTTCTTCGTCTTTGCTAACCGTCTAATCGTTTTTTTTTTTTTTGTTAGCAAAGTGGCTGAATTTTTTGATGAGTCACTTGAAGTCAGTTTTTTTCACCGATCGACTCAGTGCTGTTGTTTCCTCACTGTTATTGATATCGTAACTGAAATTTTCATGCTTTTTTTAATAATGATGGCAACAAGCTGTAAAAGGTAGAGGAGACGGTGGAGAAAATAAAGATAAAAGGACTGATGCAGAGTCACTCAATAACAACTGTGTTATCAGTGTGTTTCGTGAGGGGAAAATGACAGATAAGGTGAAATGGATTTGTTTTTACTTTTTTTTTTTTTTTGCAAAAGAAATTTATAGAAGAAAGTGTCAATTCAGTTATCCACCTTTGTACAGTTGTTGTCGTTCTCCGAGGTTATATAAACAGCATTACAGTTAGACATAGATCTGACAGTTTTAGAAAGAAAAGCTGAAAAAAAAAAAAAGAATTGGCAGTAGTAGCAGGAAAAAAAAAGCTCTAAAAGAAAATTTTATTTCATTATTTTGTTGTCACCGGGGTAAACGCCTTAGTATTTTTTTATTTTCTACTCACTTAAAAAGCAGTTAATTCAAAAACTGTTTAGCAAACTTTTAAAAACTTCTTACAAACTATAAATAATGTTACCAATGTGTAAGTTTTTTGATTTTCATTCTTCTCTGTTGTTATTGCTGTTGTTGTTGCTGCTATTTGCTTTTTGTCTGCCAACCAGCGTTTTAGAGTAGTCAAGTGTAGTTCTTAATGGGACTTACTATTATCATATAGGTTACCTTATCTAAATCATAGCACTTTTCTCAGCAATCTCGTCAGAAAGTAAAAATCTTTCAACTAAACCTTTCACACAGTTTTTCTTTGTTCATTTAATCAATGATGGAATTTTGTCAAGTGAATTTTTATTTTATTTTATTCTTTTTTATTTTTCTTATGTATTTACTCGTTTTTCTTTATTTTGCCTCTTATTGAACAACTGAAAAGATTTAAAAAATAACCACCTTTCTTTTTTTTCCTATTGTTTCCTGGTATTTTACCGGGAAATCTATAGTATGAAAGCCGTTGAGAATTTCCTGTATAGAATGACAAAAAAGTTGTTGCTCACTTATTACTATCTTGAACAGCAAAATTAGTTTTTCTTCTAATACTTCTTTGATGCTTAGATCAATTTTTTTTGGTGCTTTTATGAAGTTTGGAAAACAGAAAAGTTAGGAAAATTTGATTGATGAATATAAGTCTTGCATTGAAGCAATTTATCGGGCAATTCCCACCCCTTCCTGGTTTTTCCTTTTTTCTTTATTACTTTTTCTTTTGTTTTCCCCCCCACTGGTTTCTTCATGAAATCAATTCTTCTTAAGTAAAGAAAATTAATACTAAAAAAAAGCTAAAGATTTGATTGTGAGTAATATTAGTAATCATAGAAAAAAAAATTGTTGTTAATTTCAGGTCACCAAAATTTTGTAAATAAAACACAACCAGTAATCCAGGATGAGGATGTTGAGTCACAAAAATGTGAACTTCAAGAATCTTCAAAATCTCCGCTAATGACCGCCAAAGATGTAGTAAAAAGCCAGAAGTAAGTGCCACTTTTTAATGACTGTCTTTTTTCTTTTTTGTTTTGTATCCCGTTCTGTGTTGATTTTCAATGAGTAATACAGATGAAAGAAAATCAAAAATTACGCGTACTGAAAAACAGTACAGATAAATTCAGAAAAAAAAGAACATTTCCTTTTGGTTGTATTTTTTAATTACAAACAAAGATTGATACATCTTGCAGAAGCGGAAGATTAATCCAACGTCAACAGCTGTTTATGCTTCGACGGCGAACCTGTGACTATGCCTTATTTTTTTCACTGTTTGGAATTGGTTGGTAATTGAGTTTCTTTTTTGATTTTTCGTTTTTTTTCAAATCGTTTTTGATGAGGTAAAAGAAAAACAACTGTACTGTTATATTGGTGTTTTTTTTTTTTTTTTTTTTTTTTTTTTTTTT